CATAGGCACCTGGTATGAATTGAACCACTGCACATCTAAGTTCCTCATGTAGAATTAAATTACTGTAGCCCTACTCAATTTGTCAAAAATGCATCCAATGACGTCGCGTTATTATTAATCAATCAATGGATATTTTTAATATTATTTTTATCTTTAATGGGTACGGGTACGGGTGGGGTGTGTGTATTATGTTATGAGCTCAAGGTTTGGTGTCTCTCTGTCCTGAAGAGGGCGGTAGATAACACAGAAATCGTTAGCAACAAATCAAAGATGGCTGCTGAAAGTAAACATCGGACTTCGATAAGATGTTGATCAGATTGTTGTGGATTCATTTTAATTAGAATACCAACTATGTGATATTTAAAAAGTAATTATGAATTTTAATTTCATTTGATAAACGACCAGGACAGACCTAGGCTAGGCCAAAAGCTAGGCCTAGGCTAGGCCTCCAACGAGCAAGAAAGGTCGAAGTATTCACTCATCATGTGGTCTCGTCCTCTCTCTAGCAAGGCCTTAGGCCTAGGGCCAACTCCATCCAACAGAGAAGAGAGGAGGCCTTTCTTTGTATTTGTAGGCTAGGCCCTAGATAGACCTAGGCCTCTATCAGCTAGCAGAGCCCCCCCCCCCTGGCGGCATCCACCAGCAGTGACTGGGCACTAATGCAGTTAGGTATTAAAGTCTAGGCTCCGGAGGAAAATATTTTTTTGATATGCTGTAGAACTGATTTTTCTAAGACAGAAAAAGAGTAGTTTGATCAAAAACTAAGCAACGGTGAATGAGATACAGATTTTTAAAAATATTTAAAAACTGGGGGAAAAAGATGTAAAAATGGGCGGTTACGCCCCTTTCCCCCCAGTTTTTAAATATTTAAAAATCTGTATCTCGTTCACCGTTCCCCAGTTTTTCATCAAACAACTTTTTTCTGTCTTAGAAAAATCAGCTCTACGAAATATCAAAAATTTTTTTTCCTCTGGAGTCTGACTTTAAAAGGAATTTTTAACCTGCTGATTTCCTAATTTTTTTTATTTTTAAGTTAACAGAACCACAGTTTTCTAAATAATTCTTAATTCAAAGTAGCTGAAAGATGACCAGTAGAGAGGATGAAGCCATTCTGAAGTCCCTTGGTGCTATTGATATCAAACCGGTTGACTACGATCAATGGAAAAGGAAAGAGCGAAAGAAACGTGTCCAGAAGATTCTTAACACTACACCTTCAAGTAGACTATTACCTGGTAAAAATGCACATGCGATATTCCTTTATATTTATTTATAATATGTGAACTAGGCCTACTATTGTAAATTGCACTTCAACCTGATACTAATATTAGAGCATGAATGAAACAGACTGTTTCTGAAGATAGATGTGAAATCTTGTGATGTTATTATGCAACCTGCTGGAGAAATATGATCCTTTATTCCCATGCTTCCTAAACTATGAATCATGACCCAAAAGTTTCACCAAACATTTGCATTAGGTGAGCAGGGATACAAAAAATTATACTGTATATTTTGTACTATTTTTTGTTTTCTGTTAAAGTTAATTATATTAAACTGATTTATATGTAACTACTAATCCTTCTCCAAACATAGAGGTATGAACTTTTATTATACCTCCATGCTAGTACTTCTTATACTATTTAATAATATATAATATAACTAGAAAATAATTTTCTTCTGCATCAGTTGATCCATATTTTGAATTTTCTAAAAATCGTTGTTAAAATATAATGTTTATATTTGTCATCGCAATACCACAGATGTTCCATTTAACTCATCAATTCAAGTAAAGAGTGGTCACAGGTTTGGAATGCCCAGTTCTTCTTCTGTTTGCAATCACAGCCACAAGAGGATTGAACCGCCATCAGGGCCTAGCGATGACGAAGCGATTGCTCAAAGACACAGGGAGATCAAGGTTCTAGAACTGCTAATCAAATCTAGGAAACAAGCTGTTGGAAACTACAAGTGTAGGCAGGAGGTTTTGTATCCTTTTATTCTTAAGGGTTGGTTTGTTTATCAATACAATATCACACATACAATATCAAATCGATACATGTCCTGTTATGATAAAATGTGAAAACTCTTTAAAACTGATACAGTGTTTAGCACTGATACTATGAGCACTCAGCCAATTTAAGACCATTGCAAATAAATTTAGAAAACAAGATTATTTTTTTTTAATTGGATTCTGTTTTAATTGGCAAATATAATCATCATCATCATCATCATCATCATCATCATCATCATCATCATCATCATCATCATCATCATCATCATCGTCATCATCGTCATCATCATCATTATCATCATCTTCATCATCATCATTTATTAGGTGCCCTTCCAAAAGAGACCAGAGTGCTGTACACATTGAAACATAGTTAGCCATACACATTCATAAGATAAAAACAAGTAATTAAAATTCAGATTAAAATGGCAATATCATAAAACAAAGTACCTAAAATGATTACAAATATGAAGTTGAAATTCCAAAACAAACTCAAATTTTTGGAAACAAATGGGTTTTTAAAAGCCTTTTAAAATCAACCAGATTGTCGGATTCACAGATGATAACTGGGAGGTTATTCCGTAACCTGGGTCCAATGACACTAAATGCTTTGTCACCAGAAACACGTCTAGTGGTAGGAACAACAAGTCTTGTGACTAGTCTTGTTATAAAGCCCTATTCGGACTATCAAAATCATATCTGGAAAAAAAATACAAGTGATATGCCTATATATGGTCATGATGACATCACATCATGACCATATATAGACACAGCATGACTATATATGGGCATACAACAGTTTTTTTGTCAAAGGAAATTTGATAGTCTGGACAGAGCTTTACATGTCCATGAAAAACATTGTTGACAATTGTTCCTTAATAAAGAATTGTAGATTGAATGAAAATGAGAAGCTGCGGACAGAAATTGAAGGTGCAGAAGAAGCCACTGTAAGTACATTGTACAGAACAGCAATTTTCAAACAATGGGTCACAACCCAAAATTGAGTCGCCAAATAATATTTGTGGCAAAGACAAGCCAAACGAGTCACTGGTTGCAAATATCGATTTTTAGTTATTAATACAGTGTTAAACAGTAAAATATGAGCTATAAAATGGTAAAAGAATCATTCAAATCTGACATTTCGTTACAAATTTACAAGCATTTAAACATTGAACTATTTAAGGAACAATATTTGAGAAATCAGCCTTCAAATTTATGATTTTGGGCATTTTTGAGGCAAAGACCATCACCACATCGTTAAAAATTCCAGCATGTTTTGACCATTATCTCAGAAACACGATTTGCGACGAGTGACTGGTTTGACTTTTCTTTGCCACATTTAAGGGTTGTAAGTTCTTTTTAAAATATTTCATCATGCCGAAAATCCATTGGACACTACAGTACTATAATTGTAGGAAAAAAAACTCTGCAGAAAGTGATACCTAACTGTGCGATTCTATATTTTAAACTTATTTGTTAAAAATAAAAAATGAAATTGAATGAATAAGGTTTCAAATTTTTTATTAATTAAGTTTCACAATCAAGCAATTACAGATGTAACATTTTTTCAGGAAACTTACAAAAATATTTTTCTCTGTGACACCATGCTTGCATGTTGATATTAGCATGGACCATGATATTTGATATTATAATTATAATTATTACCGACTACTTTTACAGCATAAAGACGTGAAACAGCTTTTACAGAAGTATGAACGTTATCGGGTAAGCAACCTTGATTACTTTAAAGTGCCAATATTGTATCCACACATAACTGGATAACAAGCTGTGTTCATCAATTTATGCCTGGTGCAGGAGCGTAGGCTTGTTTTGGGCTGGGGAGGAGGGGTGCAAAAAGGCATGGGTGGGTGTGGGTGCAAAAATTGAGAACGCGGAATTAAATCCCTATTCCAATGAAAAGTTAATAGTCATTTTTAGTATTTTAGTCCATTTAGTGGAACTAGTTTGCCCTCATGGTGGTGGGATGCATCTGCACCCTGCACCCCCAGCCTAGGCCTATAATACCCATCTGGTAAAATGTAAACATCCGATCTATTTCATTATGAAATTATCTGTATTGGCTTGTTGACATTGTTTTCTAATTTTATTTATTTTTTATCAGAGGCTTTTAAAAATTAATGTTATTACTTTGGTTTGGAAGAAACATTCTGCAACAACCCCTTATTCTAGAAACTTGCATTGTTATATTATTGCCAATACAGTAATATTATCATCATTTATTATTACTTGAATTACAGGGTGCTGTGTCGACATTAACTTCAAAGTTTGACGTAGAAAAGGCAAAAGCTGTCAAGGAGTTAGAAACTACGCAGCAAGAGGTGAATGTAGGACTCAAAGGTATGTGTGAGAGGATGAAGGCATGTTTAAGAGAGGATGGGATTAAATAATACTGTATATCATGGGGGAAGGACATGGGATGCGAAGGGGATCAAGGGACAGTAAGGGGAGGGTCAAAGGTGAGTGTGAGGTTGTGGAGAGATTCATCATTTATTACGATCATTGTTTTAGTATTTTTGGGTCTGCGCAAGGCAGACCCCAGAACTCTCACTACTGCTGGCACCACACAACCACTGCTACAGCTACCACTACTGCTACTATTACCACTGCTACACTGCTACTACTAATGCTGCAACTACTGCTATGGTTACAGTACTTCTGCTGCCACTGCTGTTACTTTTATGATGATTATTCTTTATTGCCTTTTTTAACTGACAGGCCTCGAAAAGCAACTGACGGAGGTAAAGCTGTTGTTGAAAGACAGAAGAGCTGAGTTGAGTGTCCTGCTCAGTTATAAGGATAAAGAATACCCTGTAAAAGCTATGAAAATCAGTGCACTGCGAAAACAAGTTGAACAGTTAGCAAAAGATTTTGAGGTATGTGATTAGTAGGACTTAGGCTGTCAGTATCCTAATGTTTAGATAATCATGCTATGTTTGTAGAACCCACTAGGTCTTAATACGTAATGCCATACAAGTGGCCACTTTTTTTTTTTTTTGTTATTTATGCCTTTGTATCGACAGCACTGATGTGGTGCATTCCACTTACAGTACCTAATCCTACTGAATATTACTACCTTCTGCTGTACCGTACTGAATTAATTTAGTTTTTAGATTTGAGTTAGTGTAAAATTTTACAATGTTTTAAGGGAGATAAATAGGAAATCAAAAAATTCTCTTCATGATAAAGGGCCTAAAAAGATAGTGCTAAAATTTCTTCCAGAATTGTGCAGGCACCTGTGCGGTAAATTGTTACAAACATTTTTTTCCTATACTCAATTTAGTATAGATGATTTTAACTGATAAAATTAATTTAAATATGATATTTAGTGCAAAATGTTGGTGGTGTAGTAGTATAATGTAATTGGTGGTATTGATGGTGATTGACAGTAAATGGTGATGGTTGCTGGTGTTAGAAATTAATAGTGTTAAATTTTGTGATGTTAGTTTAGGTGGTGATAGGTATATTTGGCAGTTGGTAGTAGTGATGGTAATTTTTGGTATTTGTTGGTATCAGCAGTAGATGGTGTTTAATGGTATCAGTAGTCAGTAATGGTGATAGTCTACTATTTGTTATCAGCATCAGTTGATACAGGTGTTGGTGTTTGCTGTCAGCATCAGTTGGCAATGGTGATGGTATTTGGTATTATTAGCATCAGTTGGTTATTAATGGTAATGGTATTGATATCAGTTGGTAGTAGTGATGGTGCTTGTTATCAGCATAAGTTGGTAGTTGTGAAGGTAATTTGTAATTAATAACTAATTAACATATATACATCATTTTAATCAAATCATTTCTTCTTTGCAGGCAGAGCAGGTTGATTTGGAAAGTGTAATTGCAATTGAGCAAGAGAAGTATGAGGTGAAAGGTCAAGAGGCAATTGAAGACATCAAAGCAGAAGTGACAGAGAATGCCATTTCATCCATGCATGAAAGCCTCAAGGACATGGCATTACAGAATATGGTTATGAAAAAGGTATACAGTTAATAATAATAACAAGAATAATTATTAATTATATAATTAATAGAAAATGTAAACTAAATAAAGCAAAGAAGTGAAACTAGAGAACATTATGCTGTCATTTTTTTTGTGGAAGGGGAGTTTCCAGGTATAGCACACCCTTATTCCGTATTTGGCCGAATGGACTTTTCCACTTAGAGGGGCCGGATTTATCAAACTAGAAATCAGCTTAAATACATCTAAATTTTTTTTTGCTGAAGTCAAACTTAACAATACTGCTTAGCTTAAAAATTGCATAAAAAAAAATGTTGATTGTCATCTAAGACGATTTTCAAGCTAAGATTTTGCTAAGATGGTTTAATGAATCAGCTTTAAGACATTTGCTTCGGGACATCTTAACTTTCTTGAATTAAAACTGAGCACTCACTGCATTGTACGACGAATCTAACTCCGCTCTCTGTGAGCGATAGATGACACGACGGCCCTGCTGATTGTTGGTGGCGGTCTTAACCGATCCGTCATTAAGAACCATTTGTTGCGCGCTCGTCATCGTATTGTTTTCTTCAGTGGCCCAGGCATGTATATTTTTGCTAAGGTCCCATAAAACAGCAGTGTAAAAACATATGCACAACCTGCATTGTGGGATAGCTTGTGTGTTTGTAGGACATATGCATATTTGTTGGCTCTGTTCTGATTGGTCAGTTGTTAAGGTTGATTGACACTCCGGAAAGATCCATTGTTCAAGGAGGGTGAGCTTACACTTAAGGAACATAACTTTGGTGTTCTTCCTAACCTCAATATCATTCGAAGTTTCATATACAGGCTTAATTTCAGTTTGCGTGTTGCTTAGAACAATTTTGTTGTGTACAAAAAAAAGTATTTCATTTTACTCTTTTTAATTATTAGGAAATTGAGGAACATCAGCAAACACTTGTGAAGTTAGAGGGTGATAATGAAAAATTGAAAGAGGAGGTAGATTCTCTCAAAGTGAGTCCAGAGATTAGCGTTCGCCAACAGCTGTTTCCTCACCTGTATCGTACATTACCAAAGTAAGTATAGATAACTTAAATCGGTGGCGGTTCCAGGAATTTAAAATAGAGAGAAATTTCCCTTGTGTTGTTGGACAAGCATGACTCCCCTGCAGTCTGACAAAACGCATGCAAGCTGCCAAAGCTGTGTTAGCCTGGCTTTTTGAATCCTCAATCCTTGTTGCTATTGCCTTAATTTAATTTAATCATTATTTTGTATATATACCTTGTTATACATTACTACGATAAAATTATCTTGTATATTTTCTTATACAAATGTTGATCTTTTAAAGATAAAATATTAACAGCCATGCCTTTCTTCTTACAGGTGCACTCCAGATATGGAGGTTGTACTAGATATACCAGTCCAAGAATGGCTTTCAATATGAGGTGTTAGGGCAGGGGTGTGGCAACTTCCATCTACGTGCAGGTGCATCCATATTTAAATAAACAGTAGTGCATACATTCCCAGAAGTATAGTGTGTATTTGTGTGAATAAATAATATGTTTTTCAATGGTTTTTTAAAAGGTTAGGCTTTACTATATTTTTATTGAGCTTAAAATATAAATAAATCCAAAGAAATTCCTTCCAATTAAGTGTCTCATTAAAAAAAAATGGCTATAGTACTACTGTATTTGAAGTGTCTCTAACCCAGATGGTAGGTTAACCATTAATTAAAGAATATCTTTCCATGCCTGTTTAACTATGTGATTGGCTCTACCATGCTTCTAGTTTAATTGTTTTGATTTAGATTTTGTTCTGCTTAATTAACATTAATTGCCTAAAAAGGGGCTTAGAAAGGCATACAGCAGGTAATATTGTATGTATGGCATTAACATTTGGTCCTTTGAGGAAACACATTAATAACATTAATGTGTTTCCTCAAAGGACGAAGTGATTAAGTATGGATCTTCTATCTGTAAAAGCACAAGTCCCTGGAGCGCTCTACTTGCAATTCATGGATCCACCACTGAATAAGTCTTTAAAATCTGGCCAAAAGGAGGCGTTTTAATCAGTGAAGAGTTGGCTGCATAATGAATTTTGGGACTTGGGTTTTTAACAGCTTCGGTCAGCTTTAAATTAGAATAATAAAGTTAAGACATTTGTTAATATGGGACCAGAAAAAAGTGTTCTTTAATTGGAAGTGGTCTGTATTTAGTGGTGGTCTTTATTTGGAGGGAGACCTGTACATGGTTAGAGCCACAAGAGCCTTTGTTTTGGGTTTTAGTTGTTTTCTAGATGCTTACTGTTTGGTGCTTCAGTAATTTTGATGTGCCAATTTCTAGAAATATTTCTTTGTTGTTTCTCTATGTGTTTAACATTAATATCCGTTGTTTAGATTACAGGAAGTTGTTGAGAAATTCTTTGTGCCATCGTTGAACATTTAATTTGCTAATAGCTAACGGTACCACATCCACCCACACCCCAGCATGTTGAATTAGACTATAATAAAATCTTTTTGTTTTATATAATTTTAGATTTTCTAATAAAAATATAATTTTAGTGAAAATTTGTAGTTATTTTGACAACTGCTGCTTTCCATAGGGCCTAATGTCTACCTTGTAATTAAAGGGCTATTAACTATATACGAGGCTCGCCATTCCAAAACCAACATGCTGTAGCTAATTTGTTGAACTGAGTAATTAGCATAAGAATATGGCAGTATTGTAGAGTTTAGTACAGAGAAGCTGTAATACTTTTACTCATAACTTTAGCAATAGTAAGTTGATACTAGTAAAATGACTCATCAGTTTAAAGCTTACAATGTGGAGGATAAGGATATATTAAAAAGTCAATTTTCATTTTTTGGTCACCAATGCTGATTTTGGGATGGCAAGCCTGAAATGTCTTATTAATAAAAATATATTTTTAAGGTAGATTTTATAATATTTCTGTAAAATTATTAATTAGAATAAAACTGTTTGTCCACATTGCATGATGCAAAGGATAAAGGTAATAAATACTATATTGTGACACAAATACGCTTATTTTCATTCTCCTTTGATTTCAGTGGAAAATAGTAAGCACTTTAGGAAATGATTTGACATCAAGAACATCAGTTGGGTACAGATTATTTAGGGCAGTTGATGTCTATGTTAATAGGGAGATTTGGTAACCTTACAAAAACGAGAACAAATAGTTATTGTTATTCATGCCTAAAACATTCTTGACAATGTTTAAGGCCTGAATATGATCTATGATTCATGCAAGAGATATGCTCTATTATTCCTATTAACAAATTTTATACTAAAGTACTGTACTGGCACTCCATTTGAATAAGCACCCCTCTCGTATAAGCGTCTCTCGGTGTTTATTCATTTTTTAAAACAATATCTTGTGATTGATTTTTTTTCAGCAATCTAACTAATCCTGAGACTGTGGTTGGCATGATTTGAGCTGCAGAGTGGATTCACATTTTCTTCTGATGCTAATTTCAAAATGAGGATGTTTTATCCTGCACAGATGAGAGCTCCCTGGACAGTATCTTTCCAACTTTCCTCTTCTTACATTTGTCTATTTCTCTTTTTCTTTTCCCGACAATTTGCATCTTTTCATGCGAGTTTGCAAGAAGCCCTGCAATGATCCTGCTAATCTCAATCGGCAGATGGCCAGCAAGCTTATACACCATCACCACCACTAATTTCATCTGCTGTTGAAACTCACAATTCATTCACTCAGAATTCTTGTCATGAGCCATGCTCTCTGGACGATTATCTTTTCTGCACCAGAACCATTCGTAATCTTCGGTTTCGTCCTTATATAATTTTTGTCATTCATTTTTGACTCGCCATTCTTGTCATTTGAAGCCAAATATCTTATGAGAAAACAAAAAAGGTGTAGATGGAAACCATCTTAACAGTGCATGCTTTAAAAAATAACAGGCAATGAAGATAAAACTGCGACAATAATTTAAACAGTCACTCAATAATACTTTAATGAATATCACACCAAAGGCATATCATTTTCAAATTTAGACTTGCTTTAGTAGAAACAATGATTTCTTCAAATTATATAATGCAATACCTGAATTGCATGAGGTGTTCAAAATGGAAATGTAGTGGTTTACAAAACAATCAATTAATATTAAGAGCTGCTGAACATCCAGTACATTTGGTATTTACATGACATGCACTTAAATCTATTCAATATATGCTGTAAATATAATAGGAACTCTGTGTGAATACTGAGGTCTTTTGCGTCTTTGGTGAGAAATTACCAATTAATATATAACTTCAATCAACAATTAATTAATTTCTTTTTCAATACATCATCAGTTCCTTCACATTCTTTACCTTGTTTTATTACTGCTAACCACAAAAACTTTACCATTGGATGAAAAGATTACATGACATTAAATGTGAATTATTTCAATAAATGATGACTGCCCCAAATTCTATTAACATCTGTTTTTCTTTTAAACTCCTAAATTGCATGTTATTTTTTTCACACCAGCCGTCTACTAATCTATTTTTTCCACTCGTTTTTTTCGTAGTCCCATTGTGATGCGACGCCTGTCACAGGGTTGTTACGGATAGATATATTGTATTTCAGCTGTTCTTCTTGCCATTCTTCATTCAAACTATGTGGCAATTCTGGTGAGACTGTTTAAAGATAAGAAATTTTTAAATATAAACAAACTTCCTTGCACTTATGTAGTATATGCATAGTTGCAGGTGTATTAGAATTCAACCACCTCCCTCCCACCCCATCCTCCCCTGGGACACAGGGCTATATACCATGCATGTATGCCTATGAGATCGTAGCCCAGGAATCTGAATCTTCATGAGTGCTGATATGTGTAGTGGTTACACACTGAATATAAATAAACCAATTCGCATCATGAGTCTTTAGCCTTGTCTCATTTACAAATAAAACTTTTGATTTTCTCATATATGGGCACGTTAATGATGTACTGTATCACACCCGTATATGGGCAAGCCATATAAAACTTACTGTAATGTGTAGATCCCTTTGAGTGTGGGGTATTTTCAGTTTTTATGCCATGAGAAATAGTTATAAAGAATTTGAACAAAAGAATCATTACAAATAAGCCACATGACTACAAGGGCACCCTCTATAATTTAATTCTGTGCTACAGTAATTATAATTTCTTCTTTGCGAAGACTAAATCTTTAAAGTTAAAAATTATACATCATAACATAATCCAGGATAAAGAGATGAGATCCTCAAAATGAATAGTAAGTATAATGTATAATGAAATCATTTACACTGCATTACAAGATCATTATTGAATGTTTAAGAGATATATCTTGAACATTTTCTATTCACAAATAATGAATAAATATAAAGCTATAGTTTACTATCCACACTCCATGATAGCATGTTCTTTTGAATTTTTGTAACATGTTATGAGTAAATTTGATTAGTTAAATTAGATATTTATTCTTGCTAACTGCACTTACTAAATTTCTTTTGGAATCCAAATACAAGAGCTGATACAGCTAATCCAATGCAAATACCACCAATAATATAACGCATCTCTCCGGTTGGAGCACGCATCTCCGCATATGTTTTGTTAAAACTCAATCTATATACTGTAATAAAGTATCAATATTTACATAATTATTAAAATTAATAATATTGCAAGTAACTGAAAGTGGATTTATAAAACTGTTTTCATCAGGGTTTTTCGAGGGAACAGCACATCACCTGCTCTGTCAACCATTCATTCTGGCCACACCCCCTTCCTGTCTGGTTTTGAAGTGCGGAACCTGCTGCAGATGGTGGCGGCTGTGATTACGATGCAAGTTTTTCCCCCTTATTTTGTCATTAAGAAAAATGGCCTTCTTGTCGGGGATATTCCTCCATCCTATTGGGCAAATCTTTGCACCACCAAAATTAACCAACATCAGCTACGGTATTATTAGAAACGTAACTATATACTGTAATTTAATTGATTTCACTATCGCACACAATGGCTAAAGTACTTTCAATACATCTGTACTCTCATGAGAAAATGTGACAATTTACTGCAACACATAAACATAGCAATTGCAACATAATACTGTATAGTTTTTATAACAAATAAAAACCTGCTCCTTACACTGGATTTTTTCATCTGCTGTTAAATTTTTCCAATCTCCAGCTTCCTTGTCTTTTAATGACTTCATTTCTGGTGTTAGGTTTTCATCTCTGACAAACTTTACTTTAGGAGCTGGGAAGTCCAACCTATCAGCATAGATATAGTTTGGGTCGCCTTCACGGGAAACAGGGACGACCGTTCCAGCAAATCGGCGTGCAACGAACCTAATGTTTTGTGAGGTTAATCTTAGGAGAGCCATCCTACAGAAACAAAAGAACATGACAGTCAACAAAAAAAAAAAATCAATTAAATGGATAACAGAATGAAAATTGCAGAAATTTATAAGGTACAGTAGTTTGATTAAATAATCTACCGTAAAACCTCGAGAAGAAGCACATCTCGAAAAGAAGCCCATCCTGGAAACATGGCCCATGGGCTTCTAATCAAGATAGTATGAGCTTCATTTTCATGTAGTATTTACATTCAGACTGACGTTATCTTTGATGATTATGATAGCATGTCAGCATCAAATATTATTCTATTCACATTAGCATGGTTAAAAGTCAAAAAAAAATAAATACAACAAAATTACGAAATTCGTATGTCGTATAGTAGCTCTTCCAAATATTACAGCAATCATTAAAAAAAGCCCCGTCTTTTTTGCAAAATAATCTCGAAAAGATGACCATCCCGAAAAGCAGCCCATTCAAGGGTCCTAAAAAAAACCCCCCAGGGCTTCTATTTGAGGTTTAATGGTAGGACTATTTTACTGTAAGTGCTGGGCTGAACACTGACATCATTGGATAGCCTTCCATAGGTTTACATAAAAAAATATAAATGATGAAGGATAGTTGTAATATGAGGTCTTATAGTAGAAGCTAATTTATCTTGAATCAGCAAATGTTATTACCAAAATTGGATTTCATATAAGGCCACGGGAATGAAAGTTGTAGGTTTGCGTCCACCACCCGCATGCCTAAAAAGCTACCGCACAAAAATTTTCATTATTTTGAAAAAAAATATACTTCGTTTTAAAAAACGGACTTTCTAAGTCGTAAACAGACAGAAAAACGATCTATTCATCACTGATCACTGCCACATCGCACCATGATCGCCGATCACTGCTGAGGTCATTTACGGGTCAAATCGATCTTTCTGACCAATAGGAAATCTCGTATGTTTAAAGAGGTCTTAAATGTAGAAAAGGATCTGTTTTATAGGCTAGTGTACATTTATGACTGTAAGCATTGTTTCTTGGTAATAAATGTAAAATTACCAATGCTGCGGCTTGTGGACAGCATTTATAAAAAAAATAATGAATAATGAAAAATGAAAAAATGCCTCGTGTTTTCAAAATTTTTCAGATGCAAACCTACAACTTTCATTCTTGTGGCCTTATACTCTGATGCTATCAAATCAAATCAAATTCTTTTTAAAATGACGAAGGCCTATACATAAAGATAAATAATGATTTCATCATGAATGAATAAATTTAGGCCTAGGTTTATTAATATTTTAACGGTATTAATCAACAGAAATAATGATAAAAATTCCAGTAATAATATGGCATGTCCTGACTTTCTAGGCTAGGCCAAGATTTTTCAGAGCTAGAAAGTTGTTTTTGTTACTGTTTTTAGCTACCTATCTAGGCCTAGCTAGCCTAGAACTAGGCCTGTTGCTAGGCCTAGCTAGCCTAGGTTAGCTTGGAACTTAACTTTAGGCCCAGGCCTCTCTGTAGCCTTACCTTAGTAGTGGCCTAGCTAGGCCTAAGAAGGAGGGCCTAGGCCTAACGCCTAGCACTGTAGGCCTGCCTAGCTTAGCCTGGCCTAGGCCCTCTTAGGGGGGGGGGCTAGGCCTAGCTAGTAGTAGGCTAGGTAGGCCTATCCTAGGCCTGTATGTAGGCCGAGTAGTAGTAGGACAGTAAATGAAATGGGGCCTAATGATATGAAAGTAAACAAAGCATCTTTTAATGATGCACATTTTGAGAAAATATAAACCGATACTATAACTAAATGCCATTGTATGATTAATGTACAAATAGTACATAGCCTACCTTTGAACAGAGGTGATAAATTCGCCGGCTAAAACGTAAACTTTTTACGAACGACTTCTAAAAAGATGGCGCAGAAGGCATGTAGCACACTCGCTTTATGAAAAGCGATTCAAGTACGTCGAGGAGGAGCACATGGAACATACAGTTTCAGAATGGTGGCAGCAGACATGTAAACAAACAAGAACATTCAAGATATGGACGCCACACGATTCACTTACTTTTGACTTTTGGCTAGGGCCTAGGCCTGTTTTTGCAAGCAATGCTTTCATCATCTGCATCGGACGTAGAATGTCCAATTTGCGGTATTTCTGTTAATTGTAATTTTATTAATGCTCACGTAGATATCTGCTTGAAGTCAGGCAAGGCTGAAGAGCTACCTCCTCCTCCTTCGAATCAAAAAGGTTCCCTGGATGAAACCCCACTCTGCAGCCCTAACACTACCACCATCAGCAGTACTAAGGCTACTGTCAGGTCTAGTGATGATGGAACAACGGTTCACCCTCCAGCCTCAAAGAAACTTAGAGTGGAAGGAAAATCAGAGCATTTGGCGAATCAATGGCAGTCAATATTTCGTCAACCACAAAATAAAAATCAGGCATCGTCAGTATCACCTCACAGAACTGCAAAGTCACAAAAAACTGCTCAACTCAAAGAGCAGACTTCTTCAATAAAAGACATGTCAGTATCATCTATTGAAAGTTTTACTCCCAATGTTACAGACTCATCAAAGTCAGACTGTAGGCTAAATGTTCAGTCAACCTCCTCTGTCGATTCAAAACAGAAAGCAAATCAGTCTGTGCCACTAGCGGAAAGGATGCGGCCCGTCGACTTCGGAGAGTACATCGGGCAACATCAAGCAATTGGTAGACATTCGGCCCTGCGTACGTTATTAGAAACCGATCAAGTGCCATCTTGTATATTGTGGGGACCCCCTGGCTGTGGCAAGGTAAATGTTTGTCACATATTTAATTCAGTTTTTATTAATTTTGAAATGTGACTCATATGTAGTGTTAATAACATAGAAAAAAAATAAATTGTTTTTCATAAGGGTAAATAGAAAAATTTAGTAGATTATCACTCCCGCCCGCGTAAAAAATTCGGGAAATATTGATGCCGTAATAAAAAAAAAAAATTTTCGCAACAATTATTTCAACAACATAAAATAACAATGCAATTTTGTGACTTCAAATACATTTTCTTTAAAAAACTATAAAATTAAACCAGTTTTTATACAATATTTACTATTACAGACCAAATATAAACAGTCCCTCCCTCATCGATAAAAACAAAAGCGAAATAATCTATTGTTCCAAATAAAAAAAAAACAAAAAAAAAAAAAACACCCTCCCTCATAAGTTAAAAAAAAAGAGTGATATTCTAATAATTTTTTCTACGTGCCCTAACTCAACCCAGGCAGTATATGTCTTTAAAAGAATCAATAGATACTTATCACCCCATTTAGACACATTTGGACACATTTAAAACAAATTACGTTTTTCACTGAAACATTTTTTTTTATTGACAGTTTTACAATAAATTATTTTTTGTATACTCTTTCTTAGTGATGCTTACCTTAGTGATATAAGGAGGCTTTGAGTTAACACTCATGGAGACTGCCTCCTCTCAGTGTTTCCATGTGTAGGTCATAGGAAACTTTGAAATGATTTAGTGCTTTTTCAAGTGACTGTGTGCAGGTAGATTGTTACAGGGTCTTATCACCCGAGAATCAAAATGGGAGTCTCGAGAAACAATATTGTTTCGTGGGGTAAGAAGCTTGAAAAGGTGTCCACTCTGGTCATGTTATTGTATTTGATTTTAACAGGGCTTATGTTCAGTGAACATAGTGTATTGAACCCTATCCAGACATGCATATTTTATCTGTTATATTTACAATTTTAAATAACATTTTACTTTTAAGTACTGGTACTTATTATTGTATCGTATCTTATCATTATTATTTATAATAATTTTACCATAACTAGCAGATGTCATTATTTTAATTTCATCTATATATGATAATTTATAATTTTAAATGTCAGAAATAAATAAAACAAACAAACAAACAAACTTCATAACTTGAAAAGAATTCCAACCATACATTATCTTTGTAAAAAAAAAGTATATGAATAATATTTTGGCATCTGTTAAATAACTATTGGATAACAATTTTTTTAATTGAAGTTAATAACTTTTACCTGTTTTAATTTACTGACACAAATATATTTTTTTGCAGACTTCATTGGCCCATGTCATTGCAAGCAAAACAAAGAAAAGTGGAAGTACAAGATTTGTAAAGTTGTCTGCAACTACTAGCAACTTGAGTGAAGTAAAAAATGCTGTAACAGCTGCAAAAAATGAACTGAAAATGTTCAAGAGGAAGACCATACTGTTCATTGATGAGATTCATAGGTTTAACAAGTTACAACAGGTAGACATTAATTTCTGTAACATTTAGTCTACTACTCAAATAAGTCAAAATCCAATCTTTTTGGGTCAAAATGATATAAAGGTCTCCCTCCACTTTTGGGACTAGGGTTTCCATGGTCTTTAGCAGCAGTGGCGGCACCAGCGGGGAGGAAGCAGGGGCTTAAGTCCCCCCACCAGACAGGTCAAGCCCCCCCAATGAACAGAGATCGTCGGGCTGTCAGAGTAAAAAAGATATAGAAATAGGCCCACGCCAAGCCAACACATGGCATACCTACAAGCTCGCCGCCCCAGCCTCTAGAAAATATATCCTAGAACCGCCACTGTTTAGCAGCTTTGATCTTTAATTAGAATAATAAAGATATAAGACATTTTTGTTAAAATGAGACCACAAAAAAGTGGTCTTTAATTGGAGGTGGTCTTTTATTGGAGGGGTCTTTAATGGGAGGGGTCTTTAATGGGAGGGAGACCTGTAATTATTAGTTCACTTTGTTTTTGTTTTGTAGGATGCCTTTCTACCCCACGTTGAGAATGGAACAATTACTCTGATTGGAGCAACAACAGAGAACCCCTCTTTCAGAGTTAACTCAGCACTACTGAGTCGTTGCCGTGTTGTTGTCTTAGACAAGCTGCCTATACAACATTTAGAAAAGATACTAGAACGAGGAGCAAATGAACTTGAAATAACCATTCTGAAAGAAGATGAAAGTGCACCACTTCTCTCTATTTCAAATAGGTATGTATGGATTATTTCACTTAGTACGGCAGCTTAGGGCCACATTTGGACTTAATGTGGATGTTCCGGACAAAAGCACCAATTTTTTTTTACATGCTCCTTATGGTCATAGCATTCAATTTTTGGTAGGAACCACCGCATCCGAGGTCATTATGGTGGCCATCTTGGATTTCAAAATGGTAGCCTTATAAAACCTATGTTTATCTATATCTCCGCTTCTAAATCACTTTGAATTATAATTATAATGTCTAAGAGTATGTTTATATGATCGAGGAATACCATCATATCATATTTGACCTGGTCAGATTGCCACAAATAGGTCATTTAAGGTCATTCAAGGTCAAATATTGTATGGTACTGTATCTTTAAAATTACGTAATTGTCAAATTTTACATTAGAATCATACCCAGGCTCTCAGAATTCAAAAATTTTACTATGAACTACAATATTTCATTTGAGGTCATTCTGGCGGCCATCTTGAATTTCAAAATGGCTGCCACGCAAAACCTATATTTATCAATATATCGACTTTTAAACTACTTCCAATAAGAATTATGATGTCTAAAAATATATTTTCATGGTCAATGATTTATAGCACTTGTGACATGGTCAGATAGTCATTTAAGGTCATTCAATTAAATTTTTCTGTTAAATACGTAGAATATCTTAATAATTTGTAAGTGGTTGTGTTTTACAGCAAAATCATACATAAGCTCACAAAATTCAATTTTTGATAGGAACTATCTCATCAGAGGTCATTATGACAGCCATTTTAGGTCAAGGTCATTTAGCAGCCATATTAAATTTCAAGGTGACCACCATGTAAAACACGTTTTGTTCTTTTAAATATGTTTACTGTACTGCATAGTCAAACACATCTAGATGTGTATAAGAGACAGATATATAAACAATCATAAACCATTGCAAACATCACGTACATCGCTTACTATGACGTATAGTGGAGATTCAGTGGAGATCAAGACAATTTTGATGTTAAATTGTACTCAATCATTACATTCAATTACATGACGTACACTATCTCCCAAATGTACCGTATGCTTTACGGAATTATTAAGGCATACTTTAAGTCAATCGAATTGTATTTTGCTGTATCAGCTATAAAGAGGCTAAAATTCGCCGTAAACATAGTCCTTTTGCATAAGGTCAGTGGCGTATTCTAATTATTCAAATATTATATGCAGATTTAATGCCGTTGGAATTTATCGTGAAAGAATGAAGGGTGTCGTAGTGTAAATTAAATAAATAGAACATAACACTGAGACTGGTAAGCCCGTAATGTATATTCACAAAATTGATAACAAAATGTTTATGATGAAGTGGTAATGATGATTAAATGATGCTTATAATTTATAGTTAGACCTAAAGGAATCTGAAGAAATATATTTCATGGCGTGAGCAGATATTAAATAGAAAAAAGAAGATTACTGAAGGAAAGGATAACCTAACCTTTTTTCCAAGGAAAAACGACTATAATCGTGAATAAAGGAAAGTTAAATGTTAAAAATTTACAATAATAACATAAAATAATAATACATTATAATATAAATAATAATAATAATAATCATAGGAATAAATAATAAACTGTGAGTGTGCAGAACC